AGTTGGCCTGGGCTTCAGTATTATTTCAAAACAACACAACTGATACTTCTGTATAGTGAGGACTGGGCAAATCTCTGCACTTTCTTTTTTAGTCTTTAAAATGAGAGTAATCACACTTCACCCAACGAGTTCATAAGGATTTCTTATATAAAACTTAGGCTGCAAATGGCGAATAATTTTAATATCTACATAAACACTGTGTTTATTCTGGTCTACACTCAAGAATTGTAAAGCTTATCCAAAGATGGCTAAGCTCTTGTGGGTGTGACAGGACAGTATGTAAAAAGCAAAGGGGGAAAAAACAACAATACGTGGTTTATGTAGTTTCTGAGCCTCTCTGCCCGTGATCACTAAGGACTCTTTAGGTTACACTAAGATAAGATTCTGAATTTTTAAAGAGACAATAGCAGATAGTATTGTTGTTTCCAGACATTTCCAGAGGTAGCAGAATCATCATTAAAACCATGGACTAAGACACTTTAAGTTCAGTCTATTTCCCTCTTAGATATTTTTGTTATGACTATTGTCAAGGGCTGCTGTCTGGGCACTGTGGTAATCACTAAAGCATTGGCAGTTCTCAGAAGATTCTAATCAGTGCCCAGCCATTGGAGATGTGGAGGAAGCTATACATCATAGACGGTGCCCTATAAAAGAGATTGATTGAAGAAGCTGAAGTGTCATCTCTCGGGGACATTGCTTCAGAGCTGGATTGCAAGGAACAACTGCCTGGTACAGAGCACCCCAGGGCTTCATCTTGAGTCCCTATTGATGGAGAGTCCTTGGATCAATATTGAGGGAAGTCTGTGCAGACTCAGTGAGGATGTTTATGTTCTAAAAAGATCCTCAGTAAGTAACATTCATGTGACAACCAAAATCTTCAGTGCAGTGAATGTTGTTTAAAATGGCTCTATTGGAACTTATACCCTCAGATTATAATGGACTTGGGACCAAGTTGATACCCAGACATAAAGGAAAATAAATATTATGATGCAACCAGAATGTGGTGCTCCCTGTATCAGTCACATAACCACCCTCGGTACTTAACAAAATTAGAACGCGTACAAGTAGCTTCTTTTATTGAAGACAGGAAATCCTTTATGCTGTAGGGGCATCAATTTTCCTAGATTACTTGTTGTACAGAATTCTGTATAACAAAAATGATACATAATTATTATCAGTGATGAGATGGTCTGAATATGTGGAACCTAATTATGTAGAAACTTTTAAAAAGACTTTATAACATTTTATGGAACTTTATAAATAGTTATATAAGCAACAAAATTTATTAATTACTATACTCAGGAACTATGTCAAGTATATTACATACATTTTATCCTCCCTCTTGCTCTCTGAAGGAAAATTTTACCATATAGGTTTTCCTTAACAGAAATTGTGACTCAGAGAGGTTAAGAAACTTCCCCAAGGTCACACAGCTAAAGGTGATATTCTGACTCCAGATATCCTGACTCCAAAGCCTTACCTCTTAACTAGTCTTTGTTATTTTCTGCCCCCGCTACCTGCTCTAAATAATGATTCTGATATTGAGTTATTCATTGGCAATCTTACCATTTGGGACAGTTGTGGGTTACAGGCCAGATGTGTCCTTAATATACTAAGGGGCAAAAATGAGAAATGCAAGGGTTAGGCTTTTGTACAAACCCAACCCTTGATTTTACTCGCTCAGATGCAGAAGTTCAGGCACCTGCTATTCAAAGACAGTGACAGATTCATAGGATGCGGGTGACCTCACAGCAATGGAGCACAGAGGAGAATGGATCATAACTGTTCATCTACGAGTAAGGCTGCTCCCACTCAATAGCAGGGCCGGCTCACCAGATGGGGTTCCACTGTGGTGCTCAACTGTTCAAAACAAAACGGAGAAGAAAATGTTGAACTGCAAGGAGTAAGACCCCAGAGAAGGAACAGTGGCACTTAGAAGTAAACCAATAATCTTGTCGCCCCTGAAGCAAAAACCCCTGGGCCCCACCAGTAGCAAAGCAACAACAACAACAAGAAGAAACCCAAGGGAAAAATGGTTTTTTTTTGTTGTTGTTGTCCCTGAGGGCTCTAGGTATGGGGAAATGGTGAATGCCACGCTCTACTAGCTAGCCATGCTGAGGACATTATAATTCTTTTCTCTTATGTACAAATCAGTGTCAGACTCAGACCATAAATGTGCAGAGATGTGAATGGTGACAACTGGCAAAAAAGGCAATGAGGCCAGGAAGGACTCCTTCTATGTTAACACACTTTAGAGGCACCAAGCATTGAAAAAAAAAAAAAAAAATAGCAATGGTACCTCTGACCTAAGTAATTCAAACTAAATTGAAAGGAATTAAATGATAACAAAATAAAGTTTCCCTGTGATGAAAAAAAAAAATTAGTGGGTGTTTTAGTAAAATATTAAAGTTTTAGAAAAATTTCTGGTACCCCTGATCCTATGTCTAATTTTTCCATAGACTGGATAAAGAGGCCTAATTCATAAGGTGTATACTTTGGTCTGAAAACGAGTTCATTAAATCTCCTGAAGGTTTTCAGAAAAATGGTTCATGAAAACCTGTGCCATCTTTAGAACTATCAAGTCTCAGCGGAATCCCCAAATGGTCCTGGCATTCTGTTTGGGCGCATAACTGTGGAAACCTATACCCTGCATCTCAAGTCCAAAGGAAAGAATGGCAATTAATATCCAAGGACACAATTAAGAAATACCACTGCCCCTGGAATGTAAATCACCGCCTTTCTACGTACGCTATTTCTTCTTTCCAAAGCTTCAGCCGGCAGCGGCCTCCCAATTTCCTTCGCCGGAGCCTTGTGCCAGTGATGTAGCCTTTGATAATTCTTGCAATAAAAATCCAGTCATGCTTGACATTTAGGAGGGAGCAAGAGGTTTGATTTGCCTCAGGGCCATGGAACCCTTAGAGAGAATGCCTTTTAATGAGAAATGAAAGACAAAATAAAAATTAAGGGTTCAAATATCGAGCCAAATCAAAATGGGTGCCAAATCACTAGGCACTAGGTGGCCTTTAAAAAGTTCTAGATAAAGAGAGGGCCATTTAATGGAAGTCCCCCCTCCCCCCACCCCAATAATCCAAGTTGACCTGCTCTCAGTCTTGGCTGGAAAAGAGGAGGAATAAAGAGACTCAAGATGTGTAGCCTTCATGCTTTCTTGGCTACTGACAAGATGGACTGTGGAATAAAGGCCTTGGGCCACTGGAAGAAAGACGTTGAGAACAGGGTTCTCTTCATCCCACATCACAAGCATGCTTATAGATTCAAGAAGATCTGAGCTCACCCTAAGTGGTCCATAACAGCAATGATAGACCACACCCGCTACACTGAATCTATTCCAGTGAGATGGACTCCACTCACGTTTTCATTTAGCCCTCTCACTCAGCTCCTCCCATTAGCTCTGTCCCATTTCCTCCCGGTGGGTCCTTAGTTTCACGCTCTTCTCTCTGTCATTTAGAAAGCAACGGATTTATTCTCCAAGCCCCATCGGTTGAATGTGAGCCAAACGCCTGCCTTTTCACACTCCCTTAAAGTCAGGACCCTAAGTCAGTGGTCAGCAAACTCATTAGTCACAGAGCCAAATATCAACAGGACACGACTGAAATTTCTTTGGAGAGCCAAATGTTTTAAACTTAAACTTCTCCGAACGCCACTTCTTCAACATAGACTCGCCCAGGCCATGGTATTTTTGTGGAAGAGCCACACTCAAAGGGGCCAAAGAGCCGCATGTGGCTCGCGAGCCGCAGTTGGCAGACCACGGCCCTCAGTGATTTTTGGCTGAGGCTCTCATTTTTGGTTGTGACCTGTGTGTGATTCTGCTCACACCCACAGGTCAGTGCAGTCTAACAAAAAGTTTGTGCGCAGAGTGGCTTCCAAGAAAATTTAACTCATAGTGAGGAAAGGGAATTGCTCTTAGAGAGGAATGATTCCTGGGAGCATACAAGACAAGAAGAGGCTTCCGGTTTCCTCCACCAAGCCCAGTGCCCATCACCCCTGGCTGGATTCAGGAGACCCTTGGGGCTAATGCAAGTGAGGGCCTCACTCAGGCAGCAGCACTGGTAAGTGATGCAAAAGTGCAGGTCCCAGGCCTGCTCCTGGTCTGCTGCAGGAGACATGACACTCCCCATGCTCTTTACACACACATGCTTGTTTGAGGAATATTGGCCTAGAACAGTGACTTTCAACCTAGGTTACCTAGAAATCAACCAGGGCCCTAGCCAGTTGGGCTCAGTGGATAGAGCATCAGGCTGTGGACTGAAGGGTCCCTATTCCATTCAGGTCAAGGTCACATGTCCTGGTTATGGCCTCCATCCCCAGTGAGGAGCATGCAGAGGCAGCTGATCAATGATTCTCTCTCTCTCTCTTCATTGATGTTTCTACCTCTCTCTCCCATCTTCCTTCCTCTCTGAAATCAATAAAAATATAAAAACAAAAACAAACATAGGAATCAACCAGGGAACATAAGCAAAAAAAAAAAAAAATTACTGATGCCTGGGTCCCACCCCCAGAGATTCCAAGGCAATGAGTCTGGGGTGTGGCTTCAGCCTTGGGATGTTTAAAAGCTAGCCAGGAGATTTTAAGGGGCAGTCAGGATAGAGCCACTGGGATAGAGGCAGAGAGGGCTCCCTCCCTTAGGCCTCTGTGCCTCAAACAGTGGGGTTCCTGGTCAGAATCTCTTTTTCCTGTGGGCTGGCTGCCCCAGATCTGCGCTGTAAGTATGGGGGAGGATTCCGCTGAGGACCCTAACTTTCTGCCCAGTGCTCTGCAGCTCTCTCCTTCCCTCACCTTCCCCAAGCCCCTCACCTCCATACACACACCTTGATGAATCACACCAGCAGCGAACATCTCCTGGTGCTTTAAAAATGCAAACTCGGAGTCCTGCTTGAGAGTTACAGCATCAGACCCTCAAGACAAGAGGGGACGCTGAAACCTGCATTTGGAACCAGCTCCCCAGGTGTCTGAGACCAGGTCTGTGAACTCCACAGTGGGTCCAGCCTTCCGCCCTGCCAAGCGATTAAGGATTTGTAAGGATGAATGAGCTGTCCGGAGAGCCAGGGCCTGGTGCAGCGCTCTCCTTTATTAATTATGGGGAAGTGATGCATTGGCCACGTTAATGCTTCTCTTGGAAAGGGCAGTCAGTGGATGGCTCGTGGATTTCGGCACCAGCCCTTTCCCCAACGCAACCTTCCTGCTCAGCTGTTCCTCCTCTCTGTAGTCGAAAAGCCGCGTGGCTTTCACACTAAACAGCCTCCTGATCATGATTCCCAGGTGAGCTGCACTCGTGGAGGGAAATACCGGCAGGCAGGCACGGAGGAGAATCTTTCCGAGTTCTTGGCTGGGGAATACCTCTCCCCCAACCCCCACACGGCCTTATCTGCTTGCGTCAGCAGCTACTACCCGGCGTGTTACTCTGCAAGCCTGATATGCGGGAAAACACGGAGTGAGGATTTAAGAGAAAAATGAGACAGCCCCAGATCCCTTAGCTAAAGGAGAGCTTCCCTTAGCCAAGGGCTAGCGTGCAGGAAGCAAGAGATAGCCCATGCACCATTGCAGAGGTGAGACACGGGCAGGCGAGCCTGGGTGGGGGCTCTGCCTGGGGGGCGAGCCAGGGTGGAAAGAAAAGTTGCAGCGCGGATCGGTGCGTGTCACCCGCGGGGCTGGGTGCGGAAGAGCCGCTGGAACGCACTGCGGGGCCGAGGTGAGCTGGGAGGGAATCGGAAAAGATCTCCGTGGCCGAGGCCGGGGCGGGGGTGGAGGGGCTCCCCATCGTGCTCGGCGATCCCGAGCCAGGTGGGAGCCCGGGGCGCCGGGGGGAGCGCACGGGGGACCGGGGCGCGGGGACCCGGCGGGGCTGAGCGCGGAGGGAGCGAGTGCGCGGCGGCGGGCGGGGTGCGCGGGGGGAGGAGAGCGCCGCCCGGGCCCGGCCCTCCCCGCCTCCCGGCCTCCGCGCTGCTCCCGCTGCCCGCGCGCACCGGCTGCGGGCCCCGCCGCTCCGTCCGCGCTGCCGGCGCCGCCCGGAGCCTGCCCAGCGCGGGAGCCGCCCGCCGCCCCGGCTTCCAGCTCCGTCTGCCCGGCCATGGGCGCCGCCTCTCCCCGGCCGAGCGCGGTGTAAGCGGAGGGCGTGCGCGGGCTGCTGCTCGCGGGGAGCCGGGGGCACCGGCCGTCCACGCTCCCGCACACCAGGTAGGACCCCAGGATGGGCGAGCCGGAGGGATCTGGTCCCAGACCGCCAGCTGCTTTTTCCTTGGGTGGTTCAGCCGAAGGCTGCACTTCCCGCCGCTTTGACAAAGGACCGGCTCCGTGTGTGTGTGTGTGTGTGTGTGTGTGTGTGTGTGTGTGTGTGTGGACGCGCGCACACAGGTTCCGGGTGTCCGGGTTGTCGGGCTCGTGTGTCTGGGGGTGAGTGTTACTCCCCTCCCCTCCCCGCCCGCCCGTGCCGGCCGCTGGGGAGAAAGGGCTGCCCGGGAGGGATGCTGCACCCTGCACCGCCCCGGGCTCTGCAGGCTGAGGGCGCGAAGATCTAAATGCATCGGGTCGCAGCGCTACCCGGTCGGTGCAGGCATCCCCAGGAACGGGGCTCCGAGGTCACCCCCCTCCGTGTTCTCCCGGGGGTCTTCCCCGAGGCCACCCCTGCGAGCGCCCTCTTTTCAGGCGGACTGCGGAGCGGAGGGAGGTGTGGCCGGCCGGGGACTGGGGAGGGGGACATGCAGCGGGCAGGGGGCTGAAGGCCCCCCCACCCCCTTTCTGGGCGCTGTGCTGGGTGTGCGTGGTGGCTTCTGGGCACACACAGGCATCTCCCCTCACAGGAGGCTGGAAGGGAACTTTGCAGCTCCATTGCCTGCCTCTGGGGCTTCAGGGAAAAGGTCTGTGTTCTGAGATGTGAGGATACCCTTCCTGGCTCCACCTTAATGAAGAAGAGGGAGGTCTTATGGGTGGACAGTAGGCGAAAGAACCCAAATCCGCCCAGGCAATGCTTTAAAAAAACACACAAAACACAGAATGTGTGTGCATCCTTGATTTTCACATTCCCCCACCTCCCTTTGGGTTCTGTTGACTGATGAATGGTTTGGGCTGGCAATTCATATTTCCCTCTCCAGACAAAGTGGCAGTGGTTGGGTTAAGGGCAGAGTGATCACATTTAAGGAAGATTTTTTTTCTTTTTTAAGAGAGCAATGTGCATGGTGCCGGCAGCCGCTGGAAAGAAAGTCATGCTTTGCACTGGGTATCTCTGTTTTAACCCCCCTCTGCCTGGCTCCCTGGCTGGCGGCTCTGTCTCACTCCTGCTAGTCAGCCACTGGTGGTTGTGAATATGACAATACAAACTTTGTCCTGCTGGAGGTGTAGAGACTAAAAAGAGAAGAAAGGATATCAGTGGGAGGTGTGGTGGCAGGAGCTCCTGAAACAATGACAGCTGTGGCAAAGACAGTGCAGGCATCTCGATCATGGAGGAGCTGGCAGAGGAGGGAGAGACTCCGATATGATCTGGTTAAAGGCAGAGCTTGAGCATCTCCAAATATGAGCAAAGGACATCCACCCTCCAGCTTCTGGGCGAAGGTTTCCTGCGGGGAAACCTCGGGAGCCACCAGGAGGGGATTCATAAAGTGTGGGTCCCACCCATGTCCCCAACACACACACACACACACACACTCCCGCCACGCCCCCCCATTCCCCCCCTTACAAGCTGCTTTCTCTTTCTCTTCCAAAGCCATTTCTACAGCAAGTCTAGAAAGGAGAAGATGTATCTAAGGGTTTCATTCATTTCAGATAAGAAAACAAAGCAAACATTTGGAATGACTGTCTTTAGGTTCCTCTTTCAAATCATGTGCTACTTAGATTTAGCTGTGTGGGTTTTGCCAAACTTGCTTAATTGGGAGGTGAGGCTGGTGCAAAAGGAGGAAGGAAGGGAGAGCTAGCTTCGTGTGTGTGTGTGTGTGTGTGTATGTGTGTGTGTGTGTGTGTGTGGTGGAGGGGTCGTGAGTGAAACCATTGGGAGAAGGGCGAAGACTCATTTGTCAAGAAGCAAGATGTTTTTTTTCTCAGTCAAATGGTTTTCATCTTAAAAATTCTGCCTGCTTGAAGGATTCCATTTGGATCTGAGGGCTCTTTAGCTAAGATTTTTCTCAACTACTATAAGAGGATTCATGCTTTCCCCCCTAAAATGGCTGTTGTCTTATATTGAATATGGAATGCTTAATTCCTAAGGGAGTGAAAAGAAAAACTAGACAAAGGTAAACTACTATTCCCTGTTGAGCTGTGCAGACGTTGCAAAGGATGTAAGTGTCCATGACAATCAGACTTCATTTACTCTGTCTTGTAAGCTTAGCCAGGTTGGAAGAGGAAGGAAGGAATGAAAAGAATATGAAGGCAATATTTGATCACCTATTTACCTACCTACCTACCTATCTATCAAACTGTCTATCTTTCTATTTACTGTCTACAAACTGTTACTATTGAATTATTTCCACTGTATCTTTTTAGATGAAGATTGAGAAATAGATGACCCTTGTGCTGACTACAAAAGGGGAATACAACACAGCAGTGCAGCATTTCACCTCCAAATACAATCACTGAAGGAAGGTGAAATGTAGTCAGTAACACCTACAGGACTATTTGCAAGAAGTATGTTAATTGCTCTTTTAAGCTTACTATGTTTTGAGAGAGAGAGAAAAATATTCCAAAAAAGCTTCAGCATTTTGTTAGCAAGCTATATTTAACATGTTTTTTATCAGACAAAAATAGACTTTTATTTATCTTGCAAAGTAAACGCATGATTCCTTCCCTCTAAGTGCTTCATGTGTTTCTTTGACAAAATAAATGATGAGGGAGGCTCTGCAGAGCCAATGAAGTTGCATTCCCCCCTCTAACGCAAGTGAAAGCATTACTTTAACTGGCAGATGCATTTCTTGCAAAGAAAGTGAATTTTAGGGCTTTACCATCTGATTTTCATGTTGCAGTTCAGTGAGAGAAACCCTTTCCCCATGATGCCTTCAGATAGAAGGGAGGATAGCATGCAGGTAATAAGCAAGCCATCTGCCTCATCAGCATGGAACTAGATAAGATCAACATAAACAGAAATTAAATCAGGGCAAAGAAACACACAATTAAAACTGGAGGGCAGAGCACATAGCTTTCATGGTTTATATTCTTGCAGAGTGTGTGTATGTCGCTTTTAACTGAATATTAAATTGTGGCTTTACCTGTGCTAAGAACTAAGGAATCAACACGCAAGGATCTCTATCTTCTTCCTGATCCTTTCATCCTTTTTAAGTTGTATTTTGTCTTCTAAGGGATAAATGTCTCTTGCCAGAACATCTCCCCAATTCACCCAGACCTCATAGACCCCTCATCAGAAGCTCACAGCATTGTCTCCCATCTGACCAAATTCTCCTGCTCCCTCTGGTGGCAAATATTCTCCCTGACTCTCCCAAGGTACCAGAATCCCATCCAAGCATCCTTTAGAGCTCCCTTAGCTGTCTATCCTGTGGATTTGAATTCTCAGTAGTAATCGTGGCTCACCAAGCCAAAGGGTTGCTGAGCAAGCTGTTTCCAATTTTCTGTCTGAAGACCGGGGTGTCTAGGGCCTGGAGACACATTTGCGATGTAGACCCATTGAAAGGGACTAGATTCTGGGAATGTGAGCTTTGGGAGTCTGAAATTTTGACTTGGACTCAGGGCTACTCTGGTGGGACCTCATCAAGTTCCATGGGATATTTCCAGTTTTCTGTCTCTTCCGAAAGGTACCTCTGTGTGTGTGTGTGTGTGTGTGTGCACATGCATATACCTCTGTGTCTCTTCTTGACTCTCTTTCCCTCTATCCTCTCATTTGTGCACACAAAATATATTTTACATAATACATATTTTGAAGACTCAAAACTAATCAACGATGAGTGTCTCACTAGGGTTTGTAAATCAAACAACCCATTTTATGAACTGGGGACACCTAGGGTAAGTTACTCTTCCCAGTATGTTTTTATCAAGAGCAGTTCAGACTACAAATGAGGAGGTTAGTGCCTTGCCCAATGGGTTGGGTTAACTTGGAGACAGATTCTCACAGCCCTCATTGCCTCACATGTTTTTGGTAGGCTCTTTTTTTTTTTTTTTTTTTGATAGTTCTATATTGAACCCTAAGTGTCTTAATAGTGAATCTGTGTTTGTGATTGTCCTTAGATCTACCAGCCAAGAGAGTGAAGTACGTAAGTAACAAGATCAACAAAGGTTCCCAAGAATCATGTTTTCTCTTTGCCTGAAACTTCCTACCCAGTTTCAGG